GCCAATGACCCAATGCTTGTTCAGTCAGATTGACGCTTTACACTGACCCAGAAGAGGACTCCTGTGCCACTTGTACCAATGACCCCTAGAAAAACTTCCAGCCTTCAGAGCTACCAGACAGGAGTCCTGAACTGTTATCAGGCTTTTTATTTAGAGCCAAGGAGAGGCTCCATTCTACCAACAGAGCTGTCTGCAGAGGCTGCGTTCAACAAGCTTTTTTCCTCTTTCTTATTTCCTCTGACCGAGGCTAATTGCTTCTTTCATCTGCACAGAGATATCCTGACTCCAGAGAGCGTCAATTAGTGGATTTGTTGATTTTTCTCTCCCCTCCCCATCACTGAAGAATGTAGCCTAAAGGAGTGGTTCCTCTCTTCCCACCCCATGTTGGATCTAGTTATCAAGTGACCTCGGGATGCGTTGGATCAGCTTGTTGATCTGATGAGAAACTAATTATTTGAGAGGATTTGTGATTTCTACCAGACTACCAAACTGATGTAATTCACCATGGACTGCAGTATCAGTACAAAGGCAAGAAAAACTAATGTCTAGGGATGGGGCAAAAAGGAACCCAGCCTTCAGAAGTGGTTCCCTCATGAGAACACGTAACATAAAACTACACCTCCAGCAATGGTCCTTTTCTTGCAATATTAAATGTTAGATTTTCTCATTAGTTAAACAACATAAAAATGTAAAGACACAGAGACTCCATGAAATAACCTCATCTTACTTGATTTGTATTGACGGAACACACAGAATCAATCAATCCTGATGAACGCAATCCTGTGAAGAGGTTTTAGTTGGAGTGTCTGCACCTGGAATGGGGCAACCCCGGATGTTCGTGGGGAGCGAGATGCTGGAAAGCAGTTCCATGGAAAGGGACCTGAGGGTCCTGGTCAATGGCAAATTCAATATGAGTCAGCAGTGCCCTGAGAGCCAGGAGAGCCAACTGTGCCCTGGGGGGCATCAGGCAAAGCATCACCAGAGGTGATTGTCCCGCTCTGTTCTGCACTGGGGTGGCCTCACCTGGAATATTGGGGCAGTTTTGGGTGCCACAATATAAGAACGACATTAAGCCACTAGACAGAGTCCAAAGGAGGGCAACAAAGATAGTGAAGGGCCTTGAGGGGAACCTGTATGAGGAGTGGCTGAGGGCACTTGGTCTGTTCAGTCTGGAGAAGAGAAGACTGAGGGGACACCTTATTCCGGTCCAGAGCTTCCTCATAAGAAGGAGGGGCAGGCACTGATCTCTGTGGTGACCAGTGACAGGATGCGAGGGAATGGCCTGAAGTTGTGTCAGGGGAGGTTTAGGTTGGATATCAGAAAAAGGTTCTTCACCTGGAGGGTGGTTGGGCACTGAACAGGCTCCCCAGAGCAGTGGGCACAGCACCAAGCCTGACAGAGCTCAAGAAGTGTTTGGACAATGCTCTCAGCCACATGGTGTGTTCCTTGGGACTGTCCTGTTCAGGGTGAGGAGCTGGACTTTGGTCCTTGTGGGTCCCTTCCAACTCAGGATATTCTATGATTCTATGACTGCAGTCCACTCCCTGCTTCAGAGGCTTTGTCAGTTGCTATGCTTATGTAGTCCTTTTTACTTGGCTCATCATGTTTGTTGTCACCTCATACCTGTTGGGAAAGGTGTGGATGGAATTCTCTGAGCCTTATTCAAAGAATGTTCTCCCAACGCTGTTTTTAATTAATCCCGTTTAAAGGGATTCATTATTTTGTGGGTAGGGTTCCTTTGCCCCAGGAATTTTAAATATTTTGATTATGAATACATTATTGAGCCAAAATTATTTTCTTAAAACATCAATAATCCTATTATTCCCTTAGTACTGTCTGACCCTGAGAGAGTTGCTAGGAAAGGTACTGTCATGGGGAGGTGAAAGAGGAAGGAAAGAAGGCTAGGTCAGAATGGATAAACACAGGAAAAATCTCAGTGGATCTAGGTCTTTACTTTATCCCAAGCTCCCAGTGGTGAGTGGTCAATATACTGAGGGAGGGCTCTGCCAACACAGACTAAGAACTTGCTCCACGTCCTCTATCCACTTCCCAGCAGTGACAGGAGCAGCAGATAGCTCTGGCCATACATGCAGAACGCAGAGAAAAGTTGTGTTAGTGGTCACCACTTCAACAGTTTGTCTTCAACTCTTTTGGGAAAAAAAAGTGCTGGCCAAATGGGAGCATTCTGATGGATTTCTCTGAGTCTTATAAATCAGATTGGCAATTTCACATTTGGAATCACTAGCTCATTTTTATAGTAAAAAAGAATGAAGTGAAAGGTACACGTGTAGCATCTTAAATTATGCATGCAGCTTTTACAGTGATATAAACTGCTTTCAAAGGAGAGTTTTGCTCCTCTTAGTGATGTGGCTTCTTTTTTTCTTAAATGTTGTTCTCGAGTCTGTCTTTTAAGAGCATTCAAACACTTATCTGACTGTAGAAAATTTGTACCATTACTGAACTTTGCAAAAAACTCCATGTGTGATTTGTTTTGATCGAACTTTTAGACTAACTTTGAAGCAAAAGTTTTAACTGTGGAACCAACAGCACCCTACAGAAAGACAAACTGCTGGCATCTAGCCTGCCCAAGTGATAGAGGTGTGGTGTCCTTCATATCCTTTGGAGTTCATGAGCTCTGTTCCACAAAATGGCAAAACTCTGGGCTCCCAGAAATCACTGTGAGTTCAGGGCACATGGTTGGACAGCATTTACTGGCAGGATTAGCATCTGCAAATACATTTTATTTGGTGACTATTTAACATAGAATACTTAAGAGTCCCTGAACAATGAAGTAGAAACGAGATCTTCCATCACTCCCTGGATGAGCTTCCTATTCATGAGACCAGCAAGTCATGCCACCACCCTATAGCCCAATAATTATATTTGCAAAATAATGTGACTTCAAAGGGGAAGGAGGAACACCTTCAGTATCCTCCTAGAATAGTCTCAGCTTCAGAATGGCTTATACCTTGGAGCAAAAGCATTTTCCTGGGAATAGACTGACATGGTTTTAAATGCCCTTCATCCTTGAGGCTGAAGAGGTTTCCTGTGATGACTGTGCTGCCAACCTGTTTGCTATGAGTTATACAGAAACGAAACTTGTAAGTCCTTCTTAGGTGCGGCCTGAACGTGGCCAATTCATCCGGCCTCTGCGGCACTTGGGGGAATAACGCCTTGCCTGAGAATTCAGACAGGCTGGGACATATTTTAGGTACCACACTCTGGGTTTTACCAAGATGGCAGCAATTCTAAGCACGTGCAAAGCAGAAAGAAGGCTGCAAGGCAAGGGACCGGCACAACTTAGTTGCCTAAGGAAGCCGTTTGGCAAAGCACGTGCTGGGATTAGGCAGGATTTATGCACCTAAATCCTACCTAAATACCTAATTTATGGATCTAGGCCAATGTAAGTCTAGCTGTGCTGCATGCACTTGTCTGCTAGAGAAAATGATTCTGCATGGTGGTAGGTATCCACTGTTCTGGAAATCAAGAGCACTAGCTCTGTGCTCTAGTAAAGCTGCATGGAGAAGTATCAGGACATGAGCATTACCACCTCAGGAGCCCATAATGCATGTGATTTCCCCCTTGCTGTTGCCAGGCAGCTTTCCGCAGCCCTTCACAGGAAGAGTCATTACTCACTTTACTCATCATCTAAGGGCTCTTGCTCTTAGGAGAGAAGGGAACTGTTTATAGAATAACTTGTTTTCCCCAGCGTATCTTTCCTCTGGTAGTCTATAAATCTCAGGTGCTGTCAGTGGTGAGTGGAAATGAAGGGTACTGCTGGACAGGGAGAAATTCTTATCTTGCATCCAGTTACTTAAAGATAACTCCAGGTCTTCTCACATGTACACTGCTCTTCATGTCTGGAATACCTTGTGTGGGGCAACTGGGATTTAAGGCTTTGACCACATGGTGTGGTGAGGACCAAACCACACAGCAACTTGTCTGTCAAATTTTATTGGTAGAATGGTAGAGACGACAAAGCTGCTACACAGAATAGTCTCAGCTGTGCATTTCACATGTTTTGTGGAGAGAAGAATGCTTTAAGACTTCCCAGCTTTACTGCTTATTCAGAAAGTGGTTTCGCAAAGCGAGATTCTCTCAGAAACACCATGGCCACGACGCACTTTCAGTCATTTACATTTGTCATGTGTAACTTAAACCGAAGGGGTGTGTGGCAATGCATAAATGCACATGCAATTGGATTATTTGAGTGTATAAAAGTATACATGCAGGCACAGAGATTCATTTTTGCAGACGCAGGTTTTGCCTGCGTTACCACCACCCCCCAAAAACACTGGAAACACCTAAAACACTGAAATCCACGCTGTATCCCAGATCTCACTTGGAAGACAAGCGCGCAGCACAGATGGTATGGTTTACATGAAGGAAAAAGATGGCATCTCTTTACACTCTCTTATGAGGACCGAGCCTTTACGTAAAAAAAAAATTCAAAAAAAAAGCCTGAAGCCCGAGGGTGTGAGAAGAGGGAGGACATTCGACGAAACTTTTAATGCCCTGTGCCGTTCAGGTCCCGAGGCGGGTGCGAGAGCGGCGGAGCCCCGCGCCCGGAGCTGGCAGCGCGGGGTGCGCAGGAGCGATGGGACCCGAGCGCGGGGCTGGAGCCGCGCACCGCCCGCGCACGGACGCGGCCTCCGCGCCCCGGATCCCGGATCCCACCTTCCCTCCCTCTCTCCCCACGGGACAGCCCCAGCCTCAGCTCCAGCCCCTCCCGGCTCTCCCTCCGCGCCCGCGGCTCCCGCCCCGCCCGGGCGCGCCCCCGCGCCCCGCGCGCCCCCGCGGCGGGAGGGGCGGGGCGGGGCAGAGGACGCGCGGGGCGGGGCAGGGCGGGCGCTGTGCCCTCCTCTCCCTCCGCTCCCCTCCCCTCCCGTCCCCTTCTCTCCCCTCCCTCTCTCCCCTCCCCAAGGTGTTGGCGGCGGCTGTGGCGGGGACGCGCTCGCTCGCTCGCTCGCTCGTGCCCGCGCCGCCCCCCCGCGCCCGCTCCCGCGCCCGCTCCCCGCGGCTCTTCCCGGCTGCGGCGCCTCGGCCATGGCGGAGCTGAGCGCCGAGCGGCTGCGGGCGCTGCCCGGCAGCTGGAGTTACGGGATCAGCCAGGGCGGCCGCGTCTTCTTCATCAAGTGAGCGCGGGGCCGGCGCGGAGGGGAGCGGGGCCGGGCCGGGAGGGGCGTGCGGGGAGCGGAGGGGAGGGGGGGTGGGAGAAGGGGGCGGCGGGGCTGCGCCTGCCTGACTCGGTCCGTGTGTCCGTCCCCGCAGCGAGGAGGCGAAGAGCACGACCTGGCTGCACCCGCTCACCGGAGAGGCCGTGATCACCGGGCACCGCCGCAGCGCAGGTACGAGCCCTGCCCGGAGCCCTGCCCGAGCCCCCGGCCGTGCCCCGCTCCGCTCGGGGGTCTCGCCGAGCCCCGGGCGGGCTCAGCCCCCTGTCCCCTGGTCCCTCGGAGCCGCCGCAGCCCCCCGGGACAACTCCTGGTCCGCTCTCCCCGCACTCCGCGCAGTTGTTCGCCCCGGGCTGAGCGGGGCTCACATCGCCGAGCGGCCCCGCGTGTCCAGCTCCGCTCGGCAGTTCCTTAAAGCGCCTTCCCCTGCCCACGAGTTGTCCCTCCGAGCCTGTGCAGGGTATCTGCCTCTGCTCTCTCTGCGTTGCCTCGTATCACCCCTATAACGCTGTGTTGTTACCATTAGAGACCGCCGTGTTCCTCTCGTGCTTCTTGCTGCCTATCCCGTCTATTCACCTGCGTAGCATCCTTTCTCAGTTTGGCAAGAAACCACTCATCTTAATCCTGTTTGCAGCAGTACCTAGATTTAACAACGATAGGTACTAAAATGTAGAAGCTGATTTCACTAGTCACCCAGAAACCCTTTTTTCTGCCTTCACTTCCATCTAGGCTGAGTCTGTGTGGTTTCTAAGTGACTGAGAGAGGTGGAATAGGTAGGAGGAAAAGGGACTTGAAACATTAGAAATAACTTGGAGGGAGGAGGGTGGAACCAGTCTTTGCTTCTGCTGTTTTGTTCCACTCTGGAGAAGTAGCAGCAGGAGGTGCTGGAGGAGGAGGATTTACAGCAGACACTCTGGAGACCAGGAGCCAAACTCCGACTGCTGGAATTGCACACAGGCTGCATATGCCGCTGGGAGGTGGTGGAGTGTAGTAATAAGTGCAGTTGTTTTTATGTATGTAATCACTTGGATAATCGCAGGGAAATCTGCAAGTGAATTGGTCTATATCAGATTATTTGCTTTTTATGTTTGGTTAATACTCACGCATTAAGAAATCAGAAACAGCCTCTTAGAAAACTGTGGGCAGCCTTTCTTTTCCTTTTTTTTTTTTTTTTGAGTTGAGAATAGTTTAAAAACCACAGGTTTCTGGCTATTAGAACTCGGCAGTTTGATTTGCTGTGAAGGTCTGTTGTTTGTAAGAAGTCATTTAATGCTGGGAATGGAACTACTGATTGCTATCAGGCTCCTTTTGCTCCTGCTTTCAGTGCTCAGATTAAGAAACTGGCCTTCATCTACAGCAATATGCATGGGGGCAGATGTGCTTTGCTTGTTCGACACCAGCATTAGCTGAGTATTAATTCTTTTTTTAAACTGTTCCCACTGTCTCTTTTGGCTGATGGTGATTTCCCAGTAATTTTCCAAGTGTCTCATTTGTTTCTGCTGTTAAGTGCCTTCCAAAGGAAATGCAGTTTGCTTTTGAGTGTCTGGAGTATTGTATGTAACATAGCAAAGTTATCATCAGGTAAATTAAACTTATTTCTGAACACAAGAGTGAGGCATGACCTTGGGTATATTGACAATCATTTATTAATCAGATACCAAGGTGTCCGCAAACCAAATCTCTTTTTGTAGTTTCCCTCATTCGTGTGTATGTTAATGAATCTTTCCATACAGAGATATAATCAAACAGATTAATTATGGGGTTTATATCTTGTTTTGCTCTGACAGTTGTTTTGGAACCTGGTCAAAATGTGTTCAAATGACATATTCTCTTAAACAGTTTTTGAGTGAATAACACTTCTTTTGGAAGATGTATATTATGGTAAAGCTGCCTCTTAAATAATGCTGTAAGGCATGTATTAGGCAGCGAGGAAAGCTTTGTCCTCCATTATGAATTGAAGTGATTTTTATTCCTAGAGATATTCAATGCTGAAAAGGTATTTTTTTGCAAAGTTCAATAGCAGCCGTAAATACTTCTACTAGAGAGACTTCCTGTTTGCTGTACTTTGCCCTGTGCCATTATCGAAAGACACCTTGATTTTTCTTCTGGAGAAGACAGGAGTGAAGAAAATGCCAGACAGAGCAAATAAGCAATGAAGGGGGAAAAAAAAACAGACTGATTTTTTTCTTTTCTTTAGGAAATGCGCTTTTGTTTTTATAATTCAATGAGAGAGTGCTATGTATCAATCATTATTTTTATTAATTTGGGCAAACTTTTAAGGGTGGTGATGCATCTAGAGGTGCATAAATGTACCCAACATCTGCAGAACTTCCATTACATCAGGAAGTTGTTACTTGAGAAATTGGCTATTAGTGGTGTGGGGGTTTTTTATGTGTACTCCTAGGAGTGATAATAGAAAGGAAGAGATGTACCCACTTCCTCCACTAGATTAGCATTGAAAATTATTTTCATGTAAAATGAAATAGAGTTGTAAACACTGCGGGAACACTTGTTAGTCAGAACAGTGGTGGAATTATGCTAATACAGTGCTGATGCTCTGCGGTGTAGTTGGTATCGTGCCTATTAAGGTGCTTGTGACTTGCATGTAACTCAGTAGATGGATTTTTGTCTGGATCTCTGCCTTTCAGGTAGTTTGATGCTGCTGAAGTTCAAGGCAGAAAGATCTGGCAATGGCCATGAGTTCTAGTTACTGCTCAGAGGGAGGCACCTTATTAAATAAGGGCACACTTAGACCCTCATTGTTATTATTGGAGAATGAGAAATCCAAATCAGATTTTCATTCCTGTAGCTTCTCTGGGCTCGCAGAATTAAAACTGAGATGGTATTGTGAGTCAAGTCTGAAATATTTTTCATTGAAGTAAAGGTTTCAGCCTGTGGAATCAGACACAGTATTTTAACTACCTTGGTGTTAGGGAGTAGACCAGTATGTCCAGCATCATTTCAAAAGGTAATTGGGATGTTTTGCTGCTTGTTTTCCAGACTTACCCACAGGTTGGGAGGAAGCGTATACTTTTGAAGGTGCAAGATATTATGTAAAGTAAGTTAAATGTTTGTCACAATACTATAATTTTCAATTAGTTTGTCTAAATGTCGCTGTAATTTTGAATGTATTCCAAACTGAACTTAGATGTTACGCTGTAAATCCAAAAGGTGTATTCTAGCTTGTAATATTGTATGGAGCCCTTTGTTTACTGAATTCTGCACAGCTAAAACAATTTTTTGAGTTCTTGTGTTAGTACTTCTAATTAAAGCTCTTTAAGGATGCAGATTCAAATGCAATTTTTGCTGTGAGTGTAACCATCTAGCAAGAAATGTCCTTGCGAGTCAGAATACCTTGAATTGGTTTGGTTGACATTTGTGTGTGTGTATGGTCCTGCTGTAAATGCTTTCACAAAGGCAGACTCTTACTTCATCACTGGGAGAAGAGCCTTGGTTTCAGCCCTATTCTCTAATTACATTGTTTAAAGTCACACTGAAGGTTTAATTTGGCTGTTTTCTTTGCGGACCTCCTGCTTCTGCTTCTGGCATTGATTTTCATTATTTCCTTTGTTCCTGCTTTAGTATGTTTTGAGGAGCACGTTCACTGTGGTAGACTTGCTGTATGTATTGTCTTTTGAATGAGAGAGATGGAAATGCAGCTCTTATGCAGAAGTCTAGAGGGCGTATTGATTGGATCTGTACAAACTTCTTACAAGCTTTTCCTCTCCAGATAGTTAGACCATCCTTATCTAGAAAATTTTAAAGTGGCACCCTATGTGTATTTGTCAGATTAATATGCTTCTGTTATTTAAGAATTCCCAGGCTTTTCTCAGGCATTCAGGAGTTTTTACTCACTGTACTATGTGTTTGTTTTGCTGTCTTTAAATGTATAGTGTCATCAGTGGGATAACTTGTGAGTGAAAGTTGCCATTAGTCATAGAGGTTATAGGCTACAGACTATAGGATTTTTTGTGTCTTATTGTTGAGCAAAAGGTTGCTACTCTGTGTAAGATGCATTGTAGACATTGTGAGATGGCCATTATGTGTGTGTTGCATGGTTTATTTCATATAAGAGCATGCTTGATTTGATTCTAAGCAAAATTTAAAAAGATGTACTGAAGGATAATGCTCCAAAAATCTGATCAGAATAGGTGCTGCGCTTTCTAGCAGGGGACTGCCTGTTAATAGGTGATAGGCTTGTTTTACTGTTCTGTTCTGTCTTCTTGCAATGGGCAAGAAATACCCCAGATTGAGGACAGGGATTCACTAAGAATTTCACCTCCAGACTTCTCTGCAGATTATTGAATGAAGACAAGTGAAAATTAAAGAAAGCTGTGTTTGTGTGTGTATGCAATATAAAAAAGAAATTCTTCTAGACTTTGAGATGAAACTTGTTCTCATAGAAGAAGCCTATGGACAATGTGTTGGCTGCCTGTAGTAACTGGAAAATAGCGACTTGAGTTTTCTTGGAATAAAAAAAGGTGTGTGAACAGCTATTGTAGAGCAACTGGTGCACTTATGGACAAACCTAGGAAGTGGTAGATTGTTTGTGTACTCCTGTCCTTCTAAGGTCTTGTGTTCAAGGTGCTACCAAAACTGTTAGGATGTTCACTGACTTGATTGTTTTGGTGATAGCGAGCGCTAAATAGCTCAGTTTGTATTTGAAAGTTGTGCTGCATCTTTGAAAACGTTGCACAAACACCTCTCTGTGATTTGATAGATGTAGGAGGATAGCAGGGATAGTGCTGTCAGGCCTGCTGAAGGGTTCACGTGGTCTGACCAGTTTGGCATCCTTAGCTAAATACGTGTTCGTTGTGCAGCCTCCTAGGCTGAATTTGAATTTCTGCCCAATGATAGCTTCTCCTTGTAAAGCTGTCTAGCATTCAGCCCTGCTGGTGCTGGAGAAGATGTGAGAGCTAACATAGACAGGGTGACAACATTATAATCACTGTCTTATAATCCTAGGCAATGTAGCTCTGATTGATGTGTTGATTATAATAATTCTAATTGTCTGAATTTAAACTACTCTGGGGCTCCCTCATGAGGGGCAAACAGGGCGGGCTGTTGTGACCTCCTGCTATACAAGCACCCCCACATGTGGATTTCTGACTCTGTCCTGCTTGTTTGTGTGTACTGATTTGCTAAATATTAACATTTATAATGTTGATCGCAGCCTAATAAAACTATGTTATAAGTAAATATATTGAGAGCTTGTTTGTAAGTTACAGGGAAATGAATGTTAATAGCATGCTATTGATGGTTTCAGCCACCTGAAACTTGGCTTTTGGATTTCTGTGATGTGTCCGGTAAGAGAGTTAGACAAGAAGGACAGTCAAGTTTCCTGATCACATAAATAATTTGACCTAACTTCTGAGGCACAGCTTCAAATATGTGGGTTGAATAGAAATGTTTAACAACCTTGCTTTGTGGTAAGATCTTATGCTAGACTGTGTTTGAAAATAAAAACCTTTTGAAAATTATTCTTCTGGTTCTTTAATAATAGGTCTTCAGTGTTCCAAGTGGGTGTGTTGCTGAATCTATTACTGTGCTTTTTTTGGCTTTGATGTAGTAAACACTGTATAATCAAATTGGGATAATGTCGAGGAGATAATCGTCAGCTAAATCTTAACATTCCTTGGACTGGCATTTCAAACAGGTGACTCAGTATAGAGACTGCATTGAAATGTGATTATTTTAAAGGACACTGTATTTTTCTTGGGATGTGTATGCTCATTTTCAGAATAAGTAAATACTAAATGGTAACTATTTTACCCTTTTTTTTTCTTCTGCTTCCCTGACATTGAGTTTGTTCTAGTTTTAAGATGGAAAGATACACTGAAACAGGGATAGATAAGGAGTTCTTTCCATTGCATAACGTGGTTTTCTTTTGGCATAGGGTTGTATTAGTAAGTTGATGCTGGCTAGTACTTTGACCTTTTTTTGCAGGGGTGTTTTTTTTTTTTTTTTCTTTTTTTTATTAGTAGAATTCTGCACTTGCTAGTGACAGAATCCTTTCCCAGCATCCTTCTCATCCCTTCCAAATGCAAATGACCAAAGGTATTGTTTGTTATTTAGAGTTCTAAAAAGTGTAATGTGATGATACATTGTATGTGTCCTCATGAGGTGTAGTTCCACCGTTGAGGTGTTTTGTCTCTTTGGGAGTGAGAAAGTCTGATTTTATTTACTTGACATTAAACATGTGCACAGAAGGCCCTTCGTTGCCATTTGATGGGAACTCTGCCATTAAACTTTGCTGGAGTAATGCTTGGTTTGGTATTTATACAATAACTCCTTTTGAACTTTTACCCGGAATGTAGAGCTGTGTGACTGTAGAATTGATACATTCAACTATAACCTTTAATACTTTATCATCAGTTAACTGTTGAGTCTTCTACATTATGAAGTAAAGAAAAGTATAGTAAAACTTTTGAATTACAGCACAGCAAATTTGAGATTTTTTCTTTTGCCCTGCTTAGAATCCTTCACTGAACAATTTATTCGTGCTGAGTGTCTTGAGCGCTCATTGAGCTCTGAAAAGCTAAGGGTTCTATCTCCAAAACACATTTAAACTCTGTGGAAAGCTTAAGTTACTTATGTTATTTATAAGTGCACAAGGAAAGGGACCATGGGACAATCCCATTATGATATTTGTCAACAGAGAAAACAAACCTGGTCATGGGCTTCAGACTCCTCACCTATTAAGATCATCGAGAATTTTCAACTTGATGTTTTTAGTACCTTGTGATGACTTCATAGTCATAGGGCACCAGAGCACTGGTTTTTGAGCACCATAAAATTACATCAATATGTCTTTCTCTCTCTCTCTGTGTATTTATTCATATGTATATGTTTAAAAAACCCTTGCTGAAGCAAGGCATTACAAACCCTGTCCAAAGCTGAGGTGAATTCTGTTGCGTCAGATAGAGGTTTTGTAATGCTTTTATAGAGACTTTTTTATCAATGCAGATTTGTTTATTGTAGACATGTAGCTTGAAAATTGGGAAGGCAGGAAAAATTTATTAAGTGATTAAAAGGGATAAGATCTCTTTCAGCTTTGAGCTTCTATTGTTTACTAAAATAAACCTGTGCTCATTGAGAATTCAGCTATCATTTGAACTTTTGTCTTTTATGTGCATTCTAAAGATCCTTTCCCATTCAGCTGAGACTTCTTCCAAAAAAATTAGGGAACAACCAGCCCTGTTTGCAGAGAAGCCCTTTCTTGAAAGGGAGAATGTAATTTGAAAAAAATAAGAACAGATCAAACTGTTTTCCTCCAACGCTAAGAATCACAGTGTTCCTCCCAGAAATTCCTTTCTTTTTTTGTTGCCTCTAACCTTTATTTTACTAAAATAAAGGCTGAAGTTTATTCTTTTTCTTACATGGTGAGACCTCGAGGTCAAATAATGGCATATGCTCAGATGGGTGAGCTGGGGACACAACAACGAGCTATCCTGTGCCTTTTATAGTGAGCAAAGCTGTTCAGATAAGGAGAACTTTTAGGGAATGCCTGCAAATTAATTATTTATTTTAACATTTGCCTCTTTATTCCCCCAAAAATATTTTAAAAACAGTGCAGTGCTGAATCTGGGTGTGGAGGTGGAAGGATTCTAGGCACAGGAGGAAATGGGTGTGGGTCAGAGGAGAGGTGGGACAGCATCCAAAAAGCAGCTCACAGGTTGGATGTGGAAGGACGAGGCTGTAGGTAGTGGTGCACTGAAGGAGAATGCTAAAAGGGTGGGAGTAGTTGCAGAAGGGGAAGGAGTGAAGACAACTAGGCAGAAAGGAGCAGTGGCAGTGGCAAGTCAGTAAAGGGAATAGGAGTGGGAGCTGATTTCCTAGGAGCAAACTTAATGGAATTTCTCCCAGAGGGAAGGGTGGCAAAAGTTCACCCTGCAAAAACAAGTTGTCTGAGTCGTGTGCAGGTCTGGCAGGGCCGATTATCCCTGGCTTAGGAACCTGTTTCAAAGTGAGTCTGGGAGGTAGAATATCAAATGTTATCCTTAGAAATTACTGTGCCTATAAAATCTCTTTTTGACTGTGACGTCTGTGGTTGATATT